AAGAGAACACTGTAGCAGGCCCGCTGGCCCAACTATATCGTCGACAGCGATTACAAGAATGGGTCACTTACCTGTACAGGTAAGTTAAATGCAATATAATCTTGGCGAGTAAAACCATTTTACAAGCTAAAAAGTACCGAAAGTTTTTACTTTCGCCCCATAATTCAGGTAATGGACAAAAGTTAAGTGTTACGACTTTGATGTCGTAACTGAAATAAAATGTTCCTGGCTCCTAAAAGCTGCTCACACCACTGTCTGAAAACACACTGAAAACACAGCAAACCTTGGGCCAGCATGTACTCATATATTAAACAATATTAATTATTATTAGGAAGGAAAGACAAAAACTTGCCTATATAAAAATTATATCTACATTAATAGTAACTTATGTAAAACTTATAACTACTACATAAAACCACCACATTCCAGTTCACATTAACTCACTAGCACACTGTACAGAGTTAAAATAAATCATCAGGGAGGCACCATGACACACTCCATCTTCACTTCAGTCTGGTAGACTAATTACCAGCAGGCAAAACACCATACAGTACTATCGCATAAACAGGCCTCTGCATACTAGGACCTCACAAATAAACATGAGAGCACCTAAACACAAACGCCTATAGAATACACTAAAAAAAATTACCAAAATTAGCTGGTGGCCTGGTGGTTAACGCTCTCGCTTCACACGGTGAAGGCCTGGGTTCGATTCCCAGCCAGAGTAGAAACATTGGACGTGTTTCTTTCCACCTGTTGTCTATGTTCCCCATCAGTAAAATGGGTACCTGGGTGTTAGTCGACTGGTGTGGGTCGCATCCTGGGACACTGACCTAAGGAGGCCTGGTCACAGACCGGGCCGCGGGTACGTTGACCCCCGGAACTCACTCCAGATAAACTCCAGAAACTCAAACTACCGCCCAAACATGACTTTACCTCCGTCACCACCCGACTCATACTGAACTAAACACACCTCTCATCTGCTACTGTCCTGGCCACTGCCTGATTGACAGGAATAAAACGCGTTCGCTTCCAGTTCAATCCCGGAACTATGTTACACGGAAAATGACATTATATATGGAGCGTTATTTTGTATAAATATTTTTTTACAGTACCCCGTAACAGGAGAGATAAATGCACGAAGTCGAGTCCAGGACGCTGACTGAACGAAGATAGGAAGGCTTGTTTGGGTGGTTGATGGAGGTTTGAAGACTATCGAGTACACGTGGCATTGGAGCTGATCCAGGAAGAGTCCAGGAGGGAGGAAAATTCATGCCTATACCCAAAGGGAGGGAGGGAGGGAGGGAGGGAGGGAGGGAGGGAGGGGGTGGTCATTCTGGTCTATTCCGAGAGGAAGGAGGGTCATTCTTGATTATACGGTGGGGGCGGAGGGTTATCCATGACACTACCAAGGTGGAGGAAGACATTCATGCCAATACCGAGAGCGAGGGTCATCCATGCCATTACCGAGGGGGGAGGGTCAGCCATGCCAGTACCGAGGAGGGTCATCCATACTAGTACCGAGGGCGAGGGTCATCCATGCCAGTACCGAGGGCGAGGATCATCAATGCCAGTACCGAGGCGGAGGGTTATCCATGCCAGTACCGAGGGGGAGGGCCATATATGCCAGTACCGTGGGGGAGGGTCATCAATGCCAGTACCGAGGGAGAGGATCATCCATGCCAGTACCGAGGGGGAGGATCATCCATGCCAGTACCGAGGGGGAGGATCATCCATGCCAGTACCGAGGGGGAGGATCATCCATGCCAGTACCGAGGGGGAGGATCATCCATGCCAGTACCGAGGGGGAGGATCATCCATGCCAGTACCGAAGGGGAGGATCATCCATGCCAGTACCGAAGGGGAGGATCATCCATGCCAGTACCGAGGGGGAGGATCATCCATGCCAGTACCGAGGGGGAGGATCATCCATGCCAGTACCGAGGGGGAGGATTATCAATGCCAGTACCGAGGGGGAAGGAGGATCATACATTAGTTTCCGTATGTTTAGGTTTGATCACTAAGGCTGAATATAACATTTTCAAGACCAGTTACAAACACTTTAGTCCCTAAAATACATACAAGTTAAACTCTCAGAGTTTATACACCAAGACTCGCACATCTCTCGGTGTACACTGGTCCTCGCCGCGCCACTCTTGTTATTACCTGGTAAAGGAGTGTATACGATAGTGCATCATGAGACGAGTTTATCATAACTCGTTAATAGACAATATTAGATCATAAATATTTTACCCCGTGTTAATTAACACAACAGCCAGGATAAACTGTTAGGTTAGGTAAAGCTTGTCTGGAGACAGGACAAGTGTTTCCTGACGCAGGTCTTAGTTACATGATGACCCGCAGATGGAGTTTTTTATCATCTGACCGAGACTTCCGCTGGCTTATCGGTCCACCCGTTTAAAAATTATGGTTAGGATTTTTTTTTTTTTTTTAGTATTTTTTTTTTTTAGAGGTAACTGTTTCAGGAGAAACCTCATGTATCGAGCCTAATTGGCCGAGACTGCAGTTTGCTGCAGAGGTAAACAAAACCTTATGTATGTATGGGTGAGTTTTTGTGTTATTTTTTTTTTTTTTGGTCGAAGTCAAATGTGTATTTGTTTGATATAGGAAGATGAGTATTATATTCAGTGATCACACAGGTTATACTGATCATATCCCTCAGACAGTACTATTATGGCTGCTTAATGTTTAAAAGACTGCCGACTACACAAGGTTCATTAGGGTAACATTAACCTTTGATTATCAGTCAAGAATAATTTAACTCCTAAAGTAAGTTATTAAATAAACTCTTAGCATATATACATAGATATATATACCACTCAGTGTATTTAATCATGTAGGACTTACCTCTTTCTCTTCGTACTTTCATTAGTATGACTTATGGCGTAATACACTGCACTAGATCACTATATCACATACACACATCCGGTCACTACATCATACAACGTTAAAATGATCACAGTCACCAAGATGTATGACTGAGGCAGCTCCAGTGAAGCTGTTCTTTAACAGTCTCGACACCAGTGATTCATCCGTGGAGTATGTTTTACACTATTGTTATTACTACACAAGTGACACTGTTTTAAAAATCAGAATTTTGGAATTCTGTTTGTGTTATGAATCTTAAACCAGTTAAATAATTGTTAGACAGCTGGACTGTTTCATTCAGATCAATGTTCATGACTGTCAGCTTCATGCCTGACTCGGAACACCTGAAGCACTCTCCAAGGCTTCATATTTACCACCAAGTGTTGTAGCTGATATAGAAAAAAACAACACCGAGAGTCGTAAATTATAGCTCCTATCCTTGACGTGTTACCTACAGACGTTGTGTAAACAACGTCTGTAGGTAACTGTGGATTCCTTGCTGCTCATTGTTTACCAAACAAATCCACTAAACTGTATTTATGTCGTCGTGCAAATTATCCTGAGCTTTCAAACAAGCTATACTTTTTTTTTAAACCAAATTCTTTTAACAATTTTTTTTCCTGTGGATTGTTTGACTTTATTAAATTAGCCTGAGTTACTTTCGTGTATACATAACATCCAGGTGAGATTATTATTATTATTACAATCAAGGGGGAAGCGCTAAACCCGGAGGATTATACAGCGCCTGGGGGGGGGGATGTGGAAGGCATTCAGGCTTAATTCGGGGAACTGGAGCACAGATCCAATTCCCTAAATCAAGAGCCCCTCACCAACATCAAGGAACCTTCCTTGAGGGGTCCAGGTGAGAACAGATAGGAAGCGCGTCTCTCTCGCTCTCAGCAACGGAGGATCAAGCCTCCACCACCTCTTACACTCCATGACCAACACATGGGTTCAGCGCTTAACATGAATTAAACAAACATAAGATGTTTTCACTAAAATCTTAAATAAAACTTACATGTTTATTTCCTTGTCTACTTAAACCGTAAATGTTGGTCAGTCTTAGATTATTATTATTATAATCAAAAAAGAAGCGCTAAGCCACAAGGGCTATACAGGGTCAGTCTTAGAGAAAAGTTTGAAATGATTGTGTTCTTTGTAGGTCCCAGTTCGTCTTTTTTCATGGTAGAAACTGGGAAATTTGAAATACTGGTTTTCACGTGATAATTTCTGAGTGCCTCATCCGACTGCTTTAATAATAATAATATCTTCATTTACTACAAGTACATGTACAAGGTATACAGTCCTAGCTGACATCAATGACATACTACTATATAGAAAGCCACTTGTTATGCTGAACATTTCGGGCAAATTAGGTCAGTGTCCCATGATGCGACCCACACCAGTCGACTAACACCCAGGTGCCCATTTACTGATGGGTGAACATAAATAACCGGTGTAAAGAAACACACCCAACGTTTCTACCCTGTCTGGGAATCGAACCCAGACACTCGCCGTGTGAAGCGAGAGCTTTAGTCATCAGGCCACCAATGCTGATAACTCGATAATGCAAATACTTAGCAACTTTGAACTTAATATACTAGTGTGTTTTAAGATATAAGTTAGGTGTTTCTTGAGGCGGGTCTTAGTCATATGATGACTCGCTGTTGGAGCTTTTGGTCACCTGACTAAGGCCAAGGTGAGAGAATGCCTCTTCTCCTTGGCTTCAAAGCTGATATTTCTTAGTGGAAGGTTTTAGTCATGTATATGTCCTAATTTGCCATTTTTATTTAAGAAATTGAAATATTAGCCCCCCCCCCATGCGATAACTCATGAATACATATTCTAATTCGCTTCAGATCTTCAACTCTAATATTTAACTGCATTAGAAACTTATGCTACACTCTGTACTACTCATTTCGCTTGAATTGACTTACAAGGTGCTGGGGCTAGGCAGCACTGGGATACCTTATCTTCAGTCGCGCAGTGACCGTACTACATCTAGGTCAGCAGAATTTCGCTCACTCCTCTCCCCATCCATATTTCTTTTTTTTCCCCCTGAATAATATTTTTACGGAATCGTCCATATTCTCAAAAGTATCATCTTCCAGGGATGCTGAGAAGAAGCTGAAACCAGCGGGTTACAAACTACAATGGAACTATTTTTATAATGACTTAAACTCGAGTAGCCAAGGAGTTAAGGAAGTGCCAGAATACTTGTGGGCTCTGAGGCACACCCTCACCCCCACTCAACCTCTCAAACCCACTCCTGGCACCTTCAAGTCTCTCTTTGATATGGACGTCGTCAGGGCCATATACTCACACAGTACACTCTTGTGCAAGCACGGAGGTAAGATTAATACTGCCAACCTGTCTGCGAAGTTGACAAGACACTTGTACAACAGTTAGGTAACTTCATTACGAACCGTTTCGCCTGCACAGTAGGCTTCTTCATTCGAATACAGAGGAGGCAGCAGAAGTAGAGATGTAAAGACGATCTGATCAGTCCGTCACACTTGAGGTGGTCAGTTCCTCAGGCCCAAATCTGTTTTGCTAAATAGACTTGTTTTCATGAAGATCGCCTCTTTGATATTATGAGAATTGTTCTTCAGGAACATATTGTAATTACTAAAATAGAAGAAAAAGAACCATTCAAAATATTGAAACAAAATATATTCCTTTAATCGGGTTATTCTATCAGAATGGAAACAAAGTATGTTAGATCATTGCTATAATAAACTCAGAAGAGTTTGTAATGACTTCGAAAATAAACTAAAAAGAAAAGTAGACAAACAAATTGAAAACAGTGACTGGACAAAACATGCTAATAACAGTTTTGTAATTAACTTATCATATGAAACATTAGATAAAAATACAACTGCTGCTCTAGGTTTAGGTCTAAGTTTTGCAACTTCCAAAAAATCAATAATGTGGAAACTGCGAAAGAATTTTGTAACTTGGAAAAATTCAACGATTTATCCAGTGATGAAATTAATATAAATAAGAGGATGGTTTATTGTTCTATGATAAAACAAAATATTCTCAATTGCCTTCAAAATTTTTTTAAATCTCATGAAAACTTATTGGTAATAAAAAATTGTGTATTACTAAAGTCGACAAAATCAACGCAGTAGTAGTAATTTTGAAGTAGTAATAGCAGTTTTAAAGGAAACTGATTACTAACGTGAAATGAAAAATCATTTAAATGATACAAATACTTATTCCTAATTTAGAAAAAAAAAATCCCATAGATTCTGTTAACAGTAATGGCTGCCGAAAGGCAAAAATGAACTAATTAAAAAAATCATGACCACCAATCCATCTTTACGGTGTATGTATGGATTAATAAAAAATGCACAAAGCAGGTAATCCAGCTAGACCTATTATTAGCTCCATAGGTTCATTTTCTATTATCTAAATGGCTAGCAGATATGTTGAGCCTAATTGTTGGTAAAATTTCTAACTTTAATGTTTAAAATAATACTGATTTAATTGATAAATTAAGCACCATGGCTAAATTAATTACAATTTGGTTAGTTTTGATGTCACTTCTTTATTTACAAAAGTTCCAGTTAATGATCTATTAGTATCTTGTCTGAAGAACTTGTTAATTATGATTTACCATTGACCTATTAAACTCTGTTTTACTGATGCAAAGTGTTGTTCTGGAAACCTGTACAAAAAGAAAATCGGGTAAAAATTTAAAATTTTAATTATCGACACACCACTTGGTTAAGGGGGTAATAATGACTTTTCGGGTCATTGAAACCCAGGAAGATCGATCTACTACTTCCAAAACCCATTTCAGTTAAGTAAAAACCTCCTTTCTTTTTTCCACTGGAAATAGACAAATAACTTTTCCCTTTTCCTTCGTTTGGGGGGATTTCACGGGAAAAAACAAAAATTCAAAAAACCAGTTTTTTAACCGTATGTCAGGGGGAACGCCCCCATCTGAAAAAAAAACAAATGGAAAAAAATAAAGAAACACTGGGAAAATAAGAATAATGACTTGGGATTTTAAAAAAAATTTTAAATATAATAAAAAAAAGGGCCTTTGGGTTCCCTTGTAGTTGGGCATAGGGGGAAAGGGCCCTGGAAAAACTAAAATTTTTTAAAATGATGTGGGTTATCCTTGGGATGTGATAGTCCGATTTTTTGGGAAATTCGTCAAACCATTTGGGTTGGAGAAACCAAAAATAAAAAAAGGGCCGGTAGTAGCCCATTAATTTTTTAATTTAAGCCCCAAAAACAAATGTTTTGCCCTTTATCTGGCTAACCCGGGAATGCCATCCCGGGAACAGGGGCTGTAATAAAAAAAATAACGGGTTACCAGGGTCATATAATATAACTTTTAAAAAAGGAAAAAATTTGTGATAAAGGGCCAAAATCATTACGGGAAACCCACAAACAAAAAAAGGAACAAACTTAATACCCCTTTTAACCCACCCCCCCCCTTTGGGAAAGGTGGAGGTAAGGACTTTTCCAAACTTCAAAACCCACACCAGGTAAGGTCAATACTACCAATAAAAATTTTGAACAAGTGGGCCCCAAAGAACTAGTTTCGCCCCACCCCCCAGAGGGGGGGGGGGGGGGTGCCGACAAACTCCAAAGGGGGTTCCCTTTGGATCCCCGAATTTTAAAAACCCCACTCCCCGCCAAATTTTTTCCCCCTCACAAACCCCCCTTCCAAAACTTATGGACAGACCCATTAAGTAAACGAACAGAGGGAAAAGAACTATTAAAACCCTCCCGGCTCAGCCAACCCGAAAAGTGTTTTCAAGCCAAAATTTTAAAACTTTAAACTTAAAAAGGGCCTGAATACCAACCCCCATCTCAAGATCTGCTATTTGCCCTTTTAAACACTCCTAAACCCCGGGTAAGTGCAGTTTTGGCTCTGCACCCCTTTTCGTTTGAACCCGAGTTTCCCCTTGTCTTTTCCGGGCTCCCAGGGGGTGAGAAGTGGTGCTGCCCACGCCTCTTTTAAACAAAAAAGGTTTGCACTGGATTGTAAAAAAAATGGGGGTTAGCCCAAAACGCAGGATAAAACGGTAGGCTTTTGACAAATTTAAAGGAACGTAACGCCTATTCTGTTCAAGTCTTTTTTGCCAAAGACCCATCCGGGGGGACATAGGCATACAAATTGACTTTTTATGGGTACCCATTAAATGGAACCCAAAAAATATTCGTCAAATTTGCTATCAGCTACATTTTATAAATCTTTTAAGTCCCCAGGTTTCAGAACTAAGTTTTTAGCTCCACCACGCCCAGTTAAAATTGATAATTTTTTCCCGGCATTAAACGTGGATCAATTTTAAAAACCTTCCCTTTGAGGGGGAACAGGGGGGATAAAAGGGAAAAGTTTTGAGCCCATAGGGGAAACCGTCTTTTATGCCCAACCCTTTGGTACGTGGGGGCGGGTTTCCTATCCCTGGTCATCCAGGGGGTTCTTTCAACCCGAAAAAAACTTTTGAGGCCCCCAATCCCGGGTTTTAAAATGTTATCTACAAGTTTCAGGACGCAGGAAAAGGGAATGAAACCCGGGACAACGACAAACATCCCCCTATGGGGTTTAGTATACACATAGCGGCGACCTGTGACAAGTAAGGGACTGGCCGGGACCTTGGGGGATGCGCAGCCCCGCTTCAAAGCGGGGCAGGTAAAAAAAAAACATCAAAGGGGGCAGGTTTTTTTGGGGAGCGAGATAGGGGATCGGGCAACGGACGGGGGGGTTTGATTGGGTCCCCCCCCCCACTGCCAAATTTAAAGGTATCGTCCCCTGGGGAAAAGGGAAAGCCAATTACGGGAAAAGGTTTCTCAAATTTGGGGAAAAATTTGGGGGGAGTGTTAAAGACTTTGTCCCCCCAACCAAAGGGACTTACATCGGGGGCATGGTTCATGGGAGAGCCTCGTTTCCCAGAAAGTCGGAGACTAATAATTTGGGACGTGAGGTTTTTGGGAGTCTTTCCTTTGAATAAATTAAACCATTCTCAGGAAAGGTGGGGGGTTCATTGAGAGGCAACATTGATAAAGATTTTTAACTTTCAGCACGAAAAAAGGGGGCGCTACGTAAATTTCCCCAATGACGTCCTTACCTTGCAAAAAGGCCTAAAAAAACCCTAAGGTAAAGTGTGAAGGTAGGGGTGTGGGTGGGTACCTTGATGGGAGGCCCCCGGAAGAAGGGGGGGGGGAAAAGAGCATTTCTAAAAGGTGTAAAACCCAAAAATTTAAAGGCCTGGATTGTAAAGGTAAAAGGGGAAAAGCAGGGGGGGAAACTTTTTTTAGGCCTTGGGTGTATGCCCTGAAAAAAGGTTAAGGGGTTAAATGTACGGTAAAGAGGTTTTGGTTACGAAATTTTTCCTGAAAAAAATCTAGAGGGGAGTTGTTTTCCTGCGGGAACCCCAAAATTTTTTAAAGGGGGTGGGGGTTTTTTGGGGGTGGAAAGGTTTTCGATACTTCCCCTCCATCCCCCCGTCAAAAAAGTGGGGGGGTTTTTTAAAAAGGGGAAATCCCGTTTTTTTCAAAGAAGCGAGGGGGGGGGGGAGGGGGGTTTTAAAGGGGGATGGGTGGTGGAGGGGTTTAAAGCGTGGGGTTTTTTTGTAAAAGTTTATGCCCGGCAGAAAAAAAACATAAAGGGAAAAAAGTTTTTTGGTGTGAGGATCTTGTTTTTTTTTTAAATTTGCACTCCCAAAGGTAGCAATAGTGGGGGGAAAGGGAATAGTGAAACCCGGGGGGAAAAATGGGCCCCCAAAAGGGCCCCTGGAAAAAATATTTGGGCTCAAAAGGGAAATTTTTTTAAAGGGGATTTTATTTACTGATGCCTTCAGGGGGGGGTGGGAGACGAATATACTTTGTTAGGAGGGGGATTGCTGGAACTAGATAGAGTGTACCTTTCCCCGGGGAGTGGTTATGAAATCTTTCAGTACGTGAGGCAAACAATGTCAATAAAGGGGCAGTGGTGGTGGGGTTGGGGTTGGGGACCTCGGGGAAAATATATAAAGTTTTTGGAAATTAAATATAAGTGTATTATTTGATGAGAGGGGTTGGGGTTTTCAGTCCAATGAGGGACCCTTAGGGGGAAGAACGGGGATTTGGGGGGAACTTTTGCCCTGGGGGATAGGTTGCAAAAAAAAAAGGATAAAAAATTTTATTGAGAAAAGGGAAAACGTTTTAATTTTTTAAAAAATAGGGACGGCCCAAACTTTTAGAAAAATTGGGTTTTAAGGGGTTTGCAAATGGGTGGGGGGGGGGTGGGAATAATTTTCCTATAGATGAAATGGGAAAAAAAAAAAGGGGAGGTTGAGGGTTTTTTAAAAAAATAAATTTAAAAGCGAAGGTGCATGCAGGGGGGGAAAAGGGTGTTTTGGGGGGCAAAACCTCAGCGGTTTTTTTTTGCGGCATAAAAACAAAGC